TGCGAACGATTCCTTAATTATTGATTAATTATAAAACTAACATTTCAAAATAGTTATATGATACGCCATTGCGGAAAATTATCTTTATCGGCACGAATCCGAGGCAAAAATTCAAGTTGAAACCTTCAAAAAATTAATTTCGGGAGTTATATAATACTCCGATTTCAGCGACTTATAGTCAAACTGAAGCGTCTCGGAAATACGAAACCAACGAACCAAGATAACAAACCGAGCCAAATTGATTGTCCGAATCAAGATTCCAAGCGCTGTGGAAGTTCAACCGCAATTTTTTATGTTACCAACGATCTCGATTTTGACGAGCTTTATTACTCGAATCGAATAGGGGCTCGACGAGACGAACCTTCCAACGAGTCCAAGATATTTCAAAATTCCGACATCATTAAGGCCATCAAATGTTCCAACGAAACGGCTGCAGGATCAAAGTATTCGATATCGGCCATCCATTCAAACCAATCCCTGTCGCCCTTGATCCACAACGTTCTATTTACGGGCTATGCTCAACTTTCCAAAGAAAAACTTATAAATAGAGCCCTCATTCTACAACCAAGGAGACTCAAGTAAAGAGAGAGAAGATAGAGAAGAGAAGGAGAATGGGAAAGGAGATTCCTCACCTCTCGACCACCACCGCCGGAGCTTTCCTGCCCCTGAAAACGCCGAACCTGCCGGATTTTCGCGGAAACGCAAGAATTCGCAGGATTTTGTAAATTCGTGGTGAAGAAACAAATTGTACTTGGATTATCCCAACTTGTATGATGGGACAAGATCCGCCATCTGTAATCTACAGAAAACACTAGTGGAATTTTGCAACGAAGGCAAGGCCCCGTGGTTTTTTGCCCTTTTGGTTTGTCCACGAAAAAAACTCTGTGGTTCTCACTTTCTCTTTTCTGTTTGTGTGCGAAATACTCGCGTTTGCAAACGCTTCTTATTAGGACGCGAATTTACAAACTCTACGCCGCGTATATTCTCGCACGCAACAATGACTTATATCGAACAACTTCAATAGAGTGCACAAAATAAGGGCACCTATATCATGATACACATGTCTTAGATGAATTTGATATTTTCTAAACAAGTTGATGCAGACTTTCTTTGAGCATCACCTTTTTTTTTCAAAGATGAGTGTAATAAATATTTAAATTATATAAATAAAACTTTAGTCTCCAAATATTGAGAATTAACTCTTAAATTTTCAAAATTTAAAGAGTTTATTGATGACAGCTTCTCATATTACTCCGTCGCCACTAGTTATAATTATTTGGTCCTATTTTACTGCACTTTATTTGTTTTTTTTTTTTTTGTGTGAAAACTTATCTTTTTAAATCGGGTCTATTATCATGCGATATATCCAAGATAATTATTATCGTGATTTTTTTAGTAATAAAAAATTCAATACTTAGAACAACATTAAAAAATCTACCTCTCAAAACTTCATATGGGGTTTGGCATCGTGTTTGGCCATTATTGCTAAATGACAAAAAAAAAAAAAAGAGTTATATGTATTAAGAGTATTAAATCCCACATCTCCCCAATTCTACCTTTATATCCCCAAATTTAGTAAATAAGAGCTTTAGCTTTGATTCGTTTTGGATGACTTTTCTATCTGCTTTTAAAGTTTATTTTTCAGTACTAGAAATGTGCTTTTAAGAAGCATAAGAAAGCCATTCAAATTATTTCTATCAATGCTTTCTATAAATAATTTTTAGTACAAAATTTTTTAAAACTAGAAATCTGCTTGAAAAGCATTAAGCAATAACCCATAAATTGAATAAGCTTTGATTAAAAAATTGGAAGCCAGAAAGATTGAGACGTTTCAGAATTAATTTTTCTTCATTATATATTTATTTTATTTTTATAATGTTTTATTAATTTTATATTTTAATATTAATTTGGATTAATTAATAAATTAATTAATAAAGTTATCTTAATAGGATGAATTAAATGCGTTTTATTTTGTTTTATTTCATATTTTATTTCTTATATAAAATATTAAATCATTTTTAAATTGAAAAGAAGCAATTAAGCTCAAAAAAAAAAAAATCTCAAATAAATTTTTAAAAAATTTAATAATATATTTATAGACTGCGATTGTCTCTCCATTTCAAGTATAATATCACTATGGAAGAGAGAAAAAAAAAAAAAAACTCACTCATCTTAATCTCCATTTGGAGCTCTAATTCCTTTCTTAAAAAATAATATCCATCATATGCCTTCAAGATTACCTCGCCCTTGCAAAAAAGGGGCCTTTAATTTTTTCTTTATATGGGACAAAATTAAGAAAAAATCAACAAACCTCCATTTCTATTTGTAGGCTCAAAATTCTCTAAAAAAAAAAAGGTTAACACTTGACTTATATAGTCAGTGCATTCTCCCTATTATGGCTCTAATAATCTTACCTGTATTAACATTAAGAGACCCTTCATAGGCAAAATTATGAAAAGAAATCCATATATATCTCAAATTCTCCTTATAGGTCTTTATTTCCATCTC